TAGGGATTGAGGAAGAGTTGTGATATTTCATAAACTTAAGTTTCTTTCTTTGTGGGGAGTCACCTCTTGTGACAAATGTCACAAAGTGTCTTTCAGATCCTGAAATTTCAGCATGACAACAGCAGACAGGAGGCCCACTGAGTCACAGGACTTCACAGGCTTGGTGTCCAGGAACAGGATATTTCCTATTTGTAGAGTCCCAGTCAGACAGTCATACGTGGATTTGCATTTTGGTTGGGAAATTCTTGGACCTGCCTTCAATCACAGCCCTTCTCCCTCTAGGCGGGGTAGCCAGTCCTATAAAGAGGCCCTTGACTGTGTGACTGCAGACTCCTGGACTCTGAGTTTGGAGAACCTGGTGAGTGTTTCTTGGGTTGGTCTGTCTTTATGGTCTGCTTATGTGCTCCAGTCAGTTTTGAAGGACTAAGTGTGATGAGTCCAGTTGTATTTCTGGGATGAACAGCGACAACTTAGCAATCAGAAATATAGCAATGGATACAATGGTCCACTGTGAAAGGTGGCTTTTCCTTTTATTTGCTCAGTGGTTGAACAGAGTATTTTCTCTTTCATGTGCGTCTTTTGGTGTGTTTTTCAGAGCCCTATACCTTGGCAGGTATCAGAACCTGAGACTTTCCTGAGCTGTCCATTATTCTGCAACTTCAGACAATGTGCTGGGATGTCACAAGTGACAAGGGAGACAGGGATGTGTTCTCAAACTGCTCAGGGTTCCAGAACTTGAGGCTGTCTGTCTCAAATGAATTTCTGGGTGAAAGGAGCCTTACTTGTTTTGCTAAAATAAAGTATTTATTTTCTGGAATAAGTCATGAAACAAAGGTTACTTCCGAAAGCTAGTGCCATAGATTTCTGAAAGCCAAGGAAAAGCCAGGCTGTCCTAAAACAAACAGTAGTTGGGAAGAAGGCGTATTTGTGGGCAGAGAAGTGGATGTGATATCCCATGTCTCTGTCTCTCCTCTCTTTGTGGATCATCTCCTAACACGGTCGTGCAATGTTTTTCAGATCCTGAGCCTTCAGCACGATGTCTTACCAACAGCAGCAGTGCAAGCAGCCCTGCCAGCCTCCTCCTGTGTGCCCACCCACAAAGTGCCCTGAGCCTTGTCCTCCCACAAAGTGCCCTGAGCCTTGTCCTCCCCCAAAGTGCCCTGAGCCTTGTCCTCCCCCAAAGTGCCCCGAGCCTTGTCCTCCTCCTCCACAGTGCCCAGAGCCATGCCAGCAGAAATGCCCTCCTGTGCAACCTCCTTCACCCTGCCAGCAGAAGTGCCCACCCAAGAGCAAGTGAGTGCTTCAGCAGTCACCAGGACCAAGAGAAGAGGAGGAAATCTACCTCCCATTCTTCCATAGAAACACTTCCATCTGTGCTTCAAAACCTGCCATTGATGCAGAAGAATCCTCTTCAGCCTTCACCCTCTATGTGTCTGTGATGACCCCTGATAGGAAGAGTATTCTTCTCAGATTGTTCTTCTGCTAGAAGGGGAGGCTGAGAATGGTCATTCCTCACTGGTTCAGTGTCCCAGATGCTCAGTGATGAGCAGCATCTTCCCACCCTGTGCACTCAGAGAATGTTTCCAAAACTCTCAGTCTCCTTGTTTGTGTTGTTTTCACTGTGGCTTCATTTCCTGAATAAAGTATAATATGGCTGTTAGTAGTCATGAGTTCTTTCATTTTTTCTTCTAAAACTGACTCTACGACCTTCCCGATATTCTCCAGTTACATTACTTTTATTCTTTGATTGATGTGGGAGTGATTTCTTATTAATAAAGAAACTGCCTAGGCCCATTTGATAGGCCAACCCTTAGGTAGGCAGAGTAAACAGAACAGGATGCTGGGAGAAAGAAGCTGAGTGAGGAGTCGCCATGATTCTCCCACTCCAGACAGACACAGGTTAAGATCTTCTCCGGTAAGCCACCTCGTGGGCTACACAGATTATTAGAAATGGGTTAGATTAATATGTAAGAGCTAGCCAATAAGAGGCTACAGATAACGGGCCAGGCAGTGTTTAAAAGAATACAGTTTCCGTGTAATTATTTCAGGTAAAGCTAGCCATGTGGGTGGCCCGGTGCCGGGGACGCAGCCCCGCCGCTCTTATCACTACATTTGATGCCCTGGTCATCTTGTTGTAAGCAGATTTTGACTGTATTTTGACTTAAAAAGATTGCTTAGTGTTTGTTTGTTTGAGGAAAAGAGTTTAATTTTGCCTAGCTATAAGTTACCTGTTATAACCATTTTATAAGTTATAACCATTTTAAGAAGATCATGTGGTATTCAGACATGCATGCATCACTTAGCACAAATATCTCCCGTAGCCCGTGTATTTCCCCTCACTTTCCCCCTTTGTTCTATTTAATAGTTACACATCTACATCAACCTCCCCTTGTCTTTTCCTCCTTTAATATTTGAAACATTGGTGCCAACCTTGTATTTAAGGTTGGATTTATTTCTCTTAACACGCTGATATGCAGTTTCATTTATTTACCTGCAGAGGACATGATGTCATTGTTTTATATGACTGATCATTACTCCAGTCCACATAAGTGCCGCATTCTTATCACATCCACTTCTGGTGTGCAGCTGTACTGACTTATTTACCTTGCATGTTAGGAGTAGTTCTGAAATATAGATGATATTCAGGCATCTCTATTCTATGCTATATTAACTTGTTTTATAAAAACCCAAGTGATGGTGCTGTATCATATGACCGTTTTGCTTTAGTGTTACTTCTTTGGAGGAAACTTTATATTGACTTCCATATTTGATGGGTTAGTCTCCTCTCTCAACTTGAGAGTTTGTGTTCTTTTTCCTCCACTCCTCTGCCAGGACTTGTTATTATTATTATGACGGTCCTCATCCTTACATGGGTAGACTGGTCTTCTGGTGGAGGCCTGTTTTTTTGTTCTCTAACAGCTAAATATGTTAAATACTTTCTTGCTAATTTTACTTGTGGAAACTCCTGTTTGCCAAAGTCTTGCCTTTGGTCACAGTTGAGCTAATGCATGCCATTTGATTGACATTGTCTGAGGATCCTAATTAGCACTAAGCACCTGATAATTTAGAAGCTCTAATGCACATCATTTCTATGACCCTCTCTCCTGCATCCTCTTCTATGTGCAACATTTCAGTATCATCAACAATACCACTGTCATTACGTCAACCACTACAAGCTATCATACCAGCTAGCACTGCCTACTTCACTATTGTTGGCATCTTCATTACTGTTAATTATGTAAGAGCACCATATGCATCACTATTTCCATGACCAACCTTCCACCACCAATATCATCATCAAAAAACCTAAGTGAAATATTGATAATTGTAGAAATGTGTGGGGAAGGGATTCTGGCCTAGGAAGGTGAAGCCCGCATGGATCCTCCTGTTGCTTGTTACTGTTTCTTTCATTTGCTAGTGGAGAATCTTGATTTTCCTCAGTGGCTTTTTCTCAATGGCTTATATTATCAATATTAAATATTAAATTAAATGAAGAACTAGAAAACTATTAGAACTTCACGTTCAGGCTGATCAATTGGTTCATAAATCCCTAGAAAATAGGAAAAAAAATATGCATATTGACCTAGGGCCTTATGAACGTAAAAGTCCTAAAAATGAAAAGAACCAAATGCTGAGCTCAGTGCTTGATGACAACTATAAAGTACCCTTGTATGCGTATTCATGTGTGTGGACACGTGTGTTCCTAGTCTTTTGTATGAAGGTTCACACTTGGAGAAGTTTTGCTCTAGGTCCTGTTCATCTGTAGCTGCTCTTCAAGGAGTTTCTGTGGAAGCAACTCAAATTCAGCTCAGTGTGTACAGAGACTGGGCTTCTCTGACTCTGGTGAGTACTTTTCTCCTTCAGCAGTGTCCATAGCACCTTACAGTATGATGAGGGCTGGCCAGTAGATATGAAGTGTTCACGAGCACCTCTTAGATTTGTCCATGTTGTTGTCGTCTTAAGCATTGCTGTCTATAGAAAAGGGGTCTTAGCATGTTATTCTGGAGTGTGGACAAGTTACAGGCAATAGTCTGTAAGGTAGCAGATTCAGTCTATGAGACCCCACTGGCTAACAACTAAAGAGAGGAAAGCTGTTAGTGCTAATGAGTTTTTCATTTGTTAATATGAGATATCTACTTGAGATATTGCACCACCTGCAGCAGTAAGGTAACTCCATTAAAACCTTTTACATACGTATATCTTTAGTAAGTTTTCAGTGTAGTAGATTTACATATGGCTTTTTTTTGAAAGGTCTTTAATGATAATCATCCTTCTCTATATACCTGATCTACCCTGCCCTCTCATGTCTAATCACAAAGCATGTCTTCTCTTTGCATTATTTCCCTTTAACACTTTATACCGTTTTAAGTGGACTATATTCAAAGGAAGAACCTAGATGTAACAGACTCTATGTTACACTGACTTCCCAGGTCAGTAGGCAATGCTGTAATTGACACAGCAGAAGTCAGGCATGACCTATGATGATCCTTTATGTTTGATATGAAAATATGGAGAGTAGTAAGTCTCTAACCGGCCTGACTGGTAGTATGGGTACTAACCTTTGTGAATCATCCTCTGGTCATGTGTTGGTCAGCATCTGGCCTCAGGAGCTGAACTGATGACTCTTTCCCTCTAGGGACGTGGACAAGGGCAGTCTAGACTAAACCCAACCTTACTGTCAGAAGAACTAACAGAAACAGGAAGCTGACACGCTTCACTGATGTTGATTCCATGCCCATGTGCTTCTCAGAGCAGAATGGGGCCAATTAAAGACTCTGTTTCATCTTCCTCATTCTATTCTTTCTCCTCCAACTACAACTCAGCTTTCCAGGACCAAAGAGAATACTTTTCTTTTTTCTGAACTCCTTTGGTCTTCTTTTTAGGAGGTTCTAGAGTCATGAATTTATCTAGGTGTTGTTTTATAATCTGGCCAAATTCCTGGAACATCACAAATGATAGCAATGACAGAGGTTACTGTCATTACTGAGACAACTTAAACTTCACACTGCCTTCTTGAAGATAATGTTTTCTACAAGTATCAGTATTCTGTCCTTTGGGAAAAAGATGTTTTCTTACAGAAAATGTGAAGAAAAATGTTGCTTTTCTAGGCTAATGAAACAAAAATTCAGGAAATTCAGGAAGTCTGGAGGAAGAATAGGGATTGAGGAAGAGTTGTGATATTTCATAAACTTAAGTTTCTTTCTTTGTGGGGAGTCACCTCTTGTGACAAATGTCACAAAGTGTCTTTCAGATCCTGAAATTTCAGCATGACAACAGCAGACAGGAGGCCCACTGAGTCACAGGACTTCACAGGCTTGGTGTCCAGGAACAGGATATTTCCTATTTGTAGAGTCCCAGTCAGACAGTCATACGTGGATTTGCATTTTGGTTGGGAAATTCTTGGACCTGCCTTCAATCACAGCCCTTCTCCCTCTAGGCGGGGTAGCCAGTCCTATAAAGAGGCCCTTGACTGTGTGACTGCAGACTCCTGGACTCTGAGTTTGGAGAACCTGGTGAGTGTTTCTTGGGTTGGTCTGTCTTTATGGTCTGCTTATGTGCTCCAGTCAGTTTTGAAGGACTAAGTGTGATGAGTCCAGTTGTATTTCTGGGATGAACAGCGACAACTTAGCAATCAGAAATATAGCAATGGATACAATGGTCCACTGTGAAAGGTGGCTTTTCCTTTTATTTGCTCAGTGGTTGAACAGAGTATTTTCTCTTTCATGTGAGTCTTTTGGTGTGTTTTTCAGAGCCCTATACCTTGGCAGGTATCAGAACCTGAGACTTTCCTGAGCTGTCCATTATTCTGCAACTTCAGACAATGTGCTGGGATGTCACAAGTGACAAGGGAGACAGGGATGTGTTCTCAAACTGCTCAGGGTTCCAGAACTTGAGGCTGTCTGTCTCAAATGAATTTCTGGGTGAAAGGAGCCTTACTTGTTTTGCTAAAATAAAGTATTTATTTTCTGGAATAAGTCATGAAACAAAGGTTACTTCCGAAAGCTAGTGCCATAGATTTCTGAAAGCCAAGGAAAAGCCAGGCTGTCCTAAAACAAACAGTAGTTGGGAAGAAGGCGTATTTGTGGGCAGAGAAGTGGATGTGATATCCCATGTCTCTGTCTCTCCTCTCTTTGTGGATCATCTCCTAACACGGTCGTGCAATGTTTTTCAGATCCTGAGCCTTCAGCACGATGTCTTACCAACAGCAGCAGTGCAAGCAGCCCTGCCAGCCTCCTCCTGTGTGCCCACCCACAAAGTGCCCTGAGCCTTGTCCTCCCACAAAGTGCCCTGAGCCTTGTCCTCCCCCAAAGTGCCCTGAGCCTTGTCCTCCCCCAAAGTGCCCCGAGCCTTGTCCTCCTCCTCCACAGTGCCCAGAGCCATGCCAGCAGAAATGCCCTCCTGTGCAACCTCCTTCACCCTGCCAGCAGAAGTGCCCACCCAAGAGCAAGTGAGTGCTTCAGCAGTCACCAGGACCAAGAGAAGAGGAGGAAATCTACCTCCCATTCTTCCATAGAAACACTTCCATCTGTGCTTCAAAACCTGCCATTGATGCAGAAGAATCCTCTTCAGCCTTCACCCTCTAT